CCCCACCCACCGACACCAACGCCCTGCGCAGGTCGCCCACCTCTTGCGCTCCCTGTCCTCATGGAGACACTCGGTGACCCTCTTCGCACCCCTGCGCTAGATGCAGAGACCAACTCAGGGGTGGGGAGGCAGCTGCAGAGCCAAGCCCCGCCCGGAGGAGGGCCCGGCAGGAGGTGGGGGCCAGGGGCTCCCTGGATCTCAAAGTTGGACCATCTGGAAGAGGCTTCGGCCCGTTGGGATGTGTGCCGGGAGCTGTGGACGGAAGCCGGAAGATATCACCCTGAAATATGTCTTTTGATGCAAAAATGATTGCGAGCTGAAGGCCATTAAGAAACAAGAAATGCAGGAAAAGCTCTCTGCCCTCGCTTCTTGCCTAAAAGGAGGACACAGATTTCACAAAGCGCCCCCTTCCTGCTCCGCCAGCAAGGACACAAGCCCATCGCCAGAGCCAGCCTGGACTCTGCCCATGGCCTGGGAGGTGCAGGGGGCAGCCGCAAGGCAGCACCAGCCTGTCCCTGCCTGGTCTCGGGGCTCTGCCGTTCAGTTTCCCACCCCCAAAGAGTGAACATTCATTTCCTTTGTCCTGTCATTCTTCTAGAAGCCCCCTTTGGGCAAAGACGCTCTCTCAGCTGCTAAGCCGCCTCTCTGACGTGCTCCTCCTGGCTTCTCCCGTGCGTCTATGAGAAACAAAGTGCATTCAAGGCCCCGCTTATCTTTCTCGACGAATCTGTCTGTTAGATTCCCGGTTGAGGACCTATGATGGAGAGAGGGGCCGTCTCTCCACCCCACAATGCACAGCACATGGCAAGCACGTGGCATGTGGCGAGCGCCCCGCCAGCCTTCCCAGTTCTAGGCTATTCTTTCAAAGCGCGGTTCACGGGCCTGGGCGCAGGGCCTCCTGTCCAGGCCCCCTCTGGTGCCGCGGAGGTTGCTCATTATCAACCAAGCAGAAACCGCCAAGTGCATGGAGGGGCTGGAGGTGGGGGGCGGGGGAAGGGTGGTGTATTTTTCTTAACAGCTAATTGACAATTAGGGTTGAAACACCCCAAATGCTTCAGCAGAAACATACTTCACGGAGCCGAATCGATTACACCATCTATAAATATCGATGCCCACGCTTACCCATTCAGTCCACACCACCAGGCCTCTGCTCTCTGAGGTGAAGACACAGGCCCAGCCCCACAGGGCGTGTGAAAGCCCTGAGCTGCGCTGAAATAGCGTCATTTCAACAAGCCCCCTGACGCGAGCAAGACCTGGAGTCGTAACTGTGACGATGCGTGAAAACTGACCCAGCTGACCGGCCGTGAGGTGTAGCTTTGAACAGAAACAAACACCCACATTCTGCGTGTGGGCACCTCCTGGGCACCCCAAGGGGCAAGTGGGCCCATCTCCGACTCCCCAGGTCAGTGACAGCCGCTGCCCCCTCAGGAGAGACACGTCAACAAAGAGCGAACCCCAGATGTCACCCAAGGGACACCCATAAATCCCTCTTGGGGTTTAAAAAAATAAAATGTTTAAAAATCAATATACTTCTTCTTAGCTGCGATTTGGACCCCCGCTGCTGCCGCCTCCCTTCTGCGATCTGATAACAGCCCAGCATCTTGGAAGATCCCGGACGCCAGTCAGGGCCTCCCCCAGCCCATTCAGGTTCTTGATGTGGGAAGAGGGTGCAGCTGTGAGCGAGGGGCCGCCGGGGAGCTGGGTCCCGGCTGCAGCCGGGCGGGCGACAGTGGCCTCCAGAATGTGTACGGGAGACTCTTCGGGAGGCACGGGGCTGGGGGGGACACTTCAACACCCCCTCCACTCACACACACCAGACACTCCCTCAGACAGCCCTGGGGGCTCACCGAGAGCTCTGCCCAGGAGCCAGCAGCACTGGCAGAGCCCCGGTCCTGAAGGAGACTGGCCCAGATGGTCTCTACATTCTACTAGGAGCAGTGGGAGGCAGTGGCACCACCGCGGGCCAGCACCTGGAGGCGAGGACAGCGGGCACTGGCGGGAGCTCGGGAGTCTGCTGGTAGCTCGGTCCCTTAGGGAGTAGGGACATCAGTACTGGACAGTCAGAAAAGTCGGGGGGCCAGACTCTCTCCATTTTTGCCTGGCAACACCAGCTCCTTTGGGATGAGCTGGGCATCAGGGGCAGCCCACCCCAAAGGAGCTGGCATCGCGGGCAATGCTCAACTATCGCGGAAATACAATGAATGGGCTCCGACGAGGGAGCCATCTGCCCCCCTCATCCTCATGCCCTTGGGCCTCTCTGCTGTTCCTGTGTGCGTGGGCTTCTCACAGACCACAGGAGTGAGTCACTTCCCTGCTGCTCTCACTGCCTACCCCAGAACGCGCAGCCCCTGCTGTTGCTCCCCTCCGGGGCGACCCCTCTCCCTGCAGCTCTGCCCCTGCCTGCCTTGTCCTCCGGCCCCTGGTCGCCGGAACCATCAGTGACCAAGTCCAAGCTCTGTAGTCTTGATGCTGACTGGTGTTGCCACCAGAGAAGTTCTCAGGGAACAGGCTTTCCTCACACAGCTGCTCTTCACCAACGGGGTGTCTCACAACAGCTCAGAAAATCTCCTTTCATCTGAGCAAGCGTTTGCTGACTCACCCAGGGAGCCCACAGCTTCCAGGAAGTTTGGTTGGCAATAGACGCTGGCTGCGAAGACCAAGGCGATTGTTTTTCCATTATTCCATTACCAGCTGGCAGAGAGGACAAATAACCAAAATAGGAATTTCTCCTTGGACATGAAGTCATGGAGACCACAGTGAGGCAGCCGGTCTGCCCCTCGCACACGAACCCCGGGGGGCCTGCGCGGGCTCATGGACACAGACTCCAGGGCTTTCCCGCGGCTGCCGACTCCATCACCAGTGAGCGGTTCCAGGCCAGTGTCCACGCACATGTGAAGCTTCAGAACCCACTCAGATGCAGAGAATCAGCTCCAGAGCAGAATCTGATGACTGAAGTTACAATGCAGCTTAAATTAAATTAAGTTCGACTTAGATTCCAAAATCCTTACAGTCTTTCCTGAAGACTGATTTTAACAAAAGAATCCAGCAAGCCTTTACTTCCAAACTTATTAAGACCTTATTCTATTCCTGTCCTAACCTTATTGTAACTGAAAAGAAATGCCAGCTATCTGGAATCCACTCAAGAGCATTAAAAAACAAGCAACAGCACCAGCCACAATAATGGGGAAAACAGCAGTGTTCCAGAAGGAAAACTTTAACTTGTAGCTTTGTCCTAAGTGGCAAGACCAGAACAAAGCAGATATCATTGCCCAGTACCCTCCTCGGGCCCCGCCATTAAAACTGTCACCAGAAACACAGAGTTCCATGGCATTTAGTCTCCAGTTGACTCACCGATTCTTTAGGTTTTAAGGCTTGGCATCGAGTCTTACGGGGGTAAGCGCTTCACAGGCATTATCGAAAGCTGGCTCCCTCAGGCACTCTCTTGGAGCTATTTAGATGTTAGCTGACATAAATCCACTTCTTGGAAAGTCTCACAGAACCATCTAGAAGTGGGTAAGTCCTGAATTTAAATGCTTGGTTAAGGGAAGCTTTGACAACTGTCTGAAGATACTAAAGGAAAAGTGTGGTGGGCTCTTCCCCTAAGATTGTCTGAACTAAAAGCATTTGAACAGGTATGTAAAAAAGCATTAACAATAGAAGTTCAGTGCAGCATCCTGGAAGCAGCCCGAGAAGCTGGGGTGATCTCCAGGGTACATTTAACCCATACTGTTGAACTGGTTCCCAACAGCGAGGAGCGCAGACCCTTCTGGAAGCATCCTGCTGGGTGCCCCGTTCTGTATCTCCGCAGTGCTGAGAGGAGGGAGGATGAAGAAGGCACTTTCCTGGGCTCAGAGGCTTCTCAGGGCACACCTGCTTGCACGTGTACCTGTGACAGGAAACGCCTTTCCGTGTTTGCGTTGAGACCCCATTCTCCTAAGCACCCAACTCACATCGACTCAATCTACCCCCCATAACAACTCCTTGGAGAAGGTACCGTGACTGTCTCTGCTTTACAGCTGAGGAAACTGAGGCCAGGTTAAGTAACTCCCTGCGCCAGGCTTGGGCTTCATCATCTCACCTCCCAATGCACCCTTTTTGCCTGCTCTGGTAAAGTGGATCCAGGCCCCTCAAATCTTCCCCCTTGCCTGCTGGCGCAATGCAAAGACTTGCCAGCAGAGGGGGCACGGGAGACGGCCAGAGAAAATGGCGCTGCTGCCCGGTCTGGGGCCCGCAGGTTCCTGAGCAGGTGTGGCGTCTCCACGCCAGGCTCCCGTGGGCCCAGGGCCTGTGGCAACCTTCTTCGGAAGAGCCAATGAGACAGAGATTTCCAGCAAGCTCCACCAGCAGGGCACACCTTCCCTGGGCACCATCACCCAGGTCTCAGGACCGGGGGAGCTCCCGGGCAGCCAGCTCCTTTCACTGGCTGCTCCTGCCTGTCTTCCTTCTGCTTCTTACTTCCCCCTTGACGGTGTGGCTCCTCTCTCCTAACCGGGTCTGATACCTTGCCTGAGGCCGCAGGACCTGCAACAGCCTAGCTGTGAATCCAGGCTCCGAGTCTGCTCCTCGCCCTGCGGGGAGATGGCCCGATCCCCCGTGAGTCGCACAGGTGGAGCTGAAGCGCCAGTCCACACTGACAGGCGGCACAGGGCAGAGGCCGGGCAACAACATGGTTGCTATCACCTTTTGCTCCAACCTCAGTGGAGGGGGAGGGCAAGACAGCAGAACTCACCAGGCCTCCTGCTCAAGACCCCAAAATTCCTTCTCATTTCTGCAGAGTCCTCAGGAGATTTGGGGTCTTCAGGGCCCCACAACTCTCAATAGCGTCCCCTGCCTCTCCTTCTCGCTCGGGCATGGGGTTCCTGGCCCGGGTCTTGGTGCCGAGACGCCCAGGACACGCTGCGTTGGGCATTTCATCCTGAGTGGCGTCTACACTGTCTGCTGAGTTCACAGCACAGAACACACACACAAGGATCCTTTATTTTTTGTAATAATTACACATTTATTTGCATTTTTTGGTAAGGACAAGTTTGTTCTTAACCCTCCTAACACACACACAAATAGCAAACACCTCAGCGTTCGGAAGAGCCGTCGGCAGTGTTGGCGTCTCCCAGCGATTCTGAGCAGTGTTTTTCCAGGGGTGGTGGTAGTATTCGCAGAAAACACTGCAGTGACTACCATTTTTTCCAGTCAATTCTGCTTTTAGAGCTCCCACGGAAATGACTCTTTTTGCTAATTGAAAATGTGAGTGGGGTGGGGTAATGATTGCTCTCATCACTTGGGGCACAGGGTCCGGGCAGGGCGCGCAGGGTCTCCAGGTGAACAAGCCACCTTGGCCTGGCGTGGCAGGCACCTGTGCTTTCCAACACACTACGTGGGACCCAGACTTTGGAGCCGGCAGATCTAGCAGAGGTTGGGACTGGTATTTAAAAAGGAACATTTGCTGAAAAGTAACCACAGATCTAAGCCGCCGGGAGTGGCAAAGGCCCTTTGGCCTGGGTGGAAATGGCAGGAAAAATCAGAAGCAAAAGGTGAAAGCAAAAGCAACTCAAAAGAGACGGGGACAGACTCGGGTCTAGCAGGTGCTGTGGCCTTGACCCCATGTTTCAGGGGCCCTGCCCTGCTAGGTTGTGCTCAGCAGTTCAGGAAACGTTGTTTTCTTTTATGAAAAAAAATCCAAAGTAATGTTGGGCGTCAGGAGAGAAAGCTGAGTTTAATGGCTCATCCGGCGAGTGGCGCATCCCGGTCCAGGAGGGGCCCGCGGGGCCTCGCTACACCGCCTTCCTCTGCAGGAGCTGGTCCAGTAATTGCTGGGGAGGCGGGACCAGGGGCGAGTCAGCCCGACCCCGCGCCCCCGCGCCCCGCCGCCCGCCCTTACCTTCTTGAAGACTTCCGCGCGGAGCCTGTTGCTCTGCAGGATCACCCTTTTCTTCTGTTCTTCCTTTTTCTTTTTCACTTCCGGCAAGTTATTGTAGATTCTGAAACAGATTCGGACCACGTGTTGAGCGGAGCAGACCCGGGCCCGGGGTGGATCCTCGTCCCATCTTGGCAGCCTTCTCAGAGCCACAGAGCCAGGGCCGAGGGCCTGCACCCCTGGCCCCTGGGCGGGGAGCGGCTGCCCAGCGGGTCCTCCGGGCAAAGTGCAGGGTGGGTTGTTTCTTGAGAAAATGCTCTTCCCACCCCTCCGTCCTCTCCGACCACGAGCTGCCGGCCTGCAAAGCCGAGACCCTGCCTGGCCCTTCCAAGCATGAAGCTGCCTAGGCTGGGGCTGGCGCAGAGAGACCTCACCGAGGCACGACGTGGCGTGTGGAGCGTGCACCGCCAGGGCCGGGGCAGGGATAAAGAAGATGGTTGTCTGGAGACAAATGAAGTCTTTTTTGGACAGAAAGTCCTGGAAGGACACCCTGGAGGCTGACAACGGTGGGTTTTCCTGGGGTGGGGCGGGAGGGGGCGTGTTTTCCAGAAGGGACTTTCACTTGATCTCCATTTGTTTGGATTTTAAAGATGAAAACGTAATTTAGCAACATCGTTAATAACAAACACAGAAGAAGCGAGCACCCGGGGCGCTTCTGTGGGTGATTCTATGTGGGCGGGATGTCAGGAAAGGGTCAGAGCCCACCCAGGACGCAGCCCACAGCAGAGTGGAAACCGAGGCCTGAGCCCTCGGCAGACACCTGGCTTCGGGCCTGGGTGAAGGCCGAGCCCCCAGCGCCCCCACCCGCCTACTCTCTGCTCCCAGCCTCGGCACACTCCAGCACGCTCCGGCCACAGAGGTGCTGTGGGAGTTCTTGCTTCAGCCACCAGGCTCCAGGCGGCAGCTCTGGGTGTGGGCACTGCAGGGAGCAGCTTTGGAGCATTTTTCCATTAACTTGAAAGAGGACGGCTCTTGGCCGGAGGTTTCCCGACGGCACTCGGGAGAGAGCAAGTCTTCAAACTCTGGGGCTCTCTGAAACCCCAGTTAGGAGGCTGGGTCAGGCCGTTAATGGACAGTCCCCTGCGCCTCTCTGGCAGTTTTTTTATTTACAAAGTGGTTCCCTACAGATGAGTGGGTTGGCTAATTATCCCAAAAACAGTGTAACCACCGATAAAAGCAGAGATTCTGTACCTGGAGTGAGGAGAAATGTGTCCTCCCCATTCCAGAGGTTTCCCTGAGTGCTCTCCCCATTTGATTTAATTATTATAATTCCTCCCGGAGTTAACTAGAGCAAGCTCGTGACATTTTACTTGCATGGACCCGGCCAACACCGCTGAGCTGCTACATCTGGGTCAGGAGGCCAGGCCTGTGTGAATGGCAGCCTTTGTGCATGGCAGGTGGGTGTCAGCGGCGGCGCCGGCAGCCAGCAGCCCAGCAGAACAGAGAGCCGGCCGGCAGCAGCGGCCAAGGCCGCCTGAGAGGAGCGCCAGGAGGCCAGGCTGTGGCCCTCTGCACCCTCACTGGCTCCCACACGTGGCTTCTGCCTTTGGATCCATTCCCGCCAGGGCCCCAGGAGAAAAGGCCTCCTCACGCACCCCCGTTCGCAGGCGCACAGCACGGCGGGCCCTGCGTGCCAGGGTGACGGGGCGGTGGGGGGGGACCCGCAGGACAGCGCACCAGGGGCCAGGATCTCGGAGCCCAACGCCTGCATCGTGCAGAATCCAAGAACCACCACTTTCCTATGCTTTTCCCAGGACTGCCCTGACGTGGCGGGCCCGGCTCCCTGGCTGCACTCCACCAGCACTTTTCAGAGTCTCGGCCAAGACGGCCTCGGACCTTCCACGTACACCCAGGAACAGAGCCCCACGGGCCCCCAGGCCCGCTCTCCTGCCCCTGCCCCCCACTCGTCACGGGCCAACCAAGTACCTTTTAGATCGCATTTGCATCTCCTTCTCTGAAATGCACCTTTCTTTGGGTTTGAATAGGTTATCTGGGAAAAAAACCAAAAAAACAGAAAGCGTGTTACATTTGGAACATCTGGCGGCCACACGTCTCCAGGAATGGTTCGGGCAGACTGAGCACCCTGCCCGGCGCTGCAGCCTCCACTGACAACCAACGGGGCGGGCTTGACGTTGGCACAGGAAGTCAAAGACAGCATCTGACCTCACTTAGCAGCAGTGGGCCCCTGGGATGGTGTCAGGTGGCCAAAGACACACCTCAGCATCGTCTGGGGTACACAGTCCAGGGTTCAGAGTCACCCTACCCACAAAAGCCCTCTACGGTAGGGTTTTGGGGCCTCTAAGGTTGAGGAGCTCTCCCAGCTCACCCTAGACCCTTTCAGAGCAGGAGGCTCCAGGCACCTCTGGACCCTCCCTGGAGGATGCCCAGTCCCTCCATCCAGTGTCAGAAATGGCAGGGTCAGCAACATGCGGGATAAAGTCTGTCCAGTGTCCTCTGACTGGGGAAGGTGACGGGGTGACCAAAGGCAGCTGAGAGTCTGGGTATTTTTCAGTGAAGTCTACGTGACGACAGGCAGCAGCCTCATGTCGGCCTCTGATGGTCTGCGTTAACAAGTAGCGTCTACCCTTTTGCAATAACTGAAATTTCCGCAAGGCTCCAGCCCTACAGATTAGCGAGGAATCTGCACTTGAGAAATGCCCCAGGGTGCTCACGTGGGGTGGATCCCTGGGTGTCCTGGACAGCCACTGGCTTCCACACCTTCCTTCAGCATAGGCCGCGGTGCCGGGGCTTCCTGGCCAAGTATCAGAGTTGAATGAAAACGTTACACGGGGTGTTTGCACCATTTTTATCATCTCCCTTCCATAGCACATGGCTCGCTCTTGAAATCGGGGTTCCACTGTGGTTGTTTTATTTTCAGTTATTTTTCTTTAGAACATCTGATACAATGAAGTTTGGTTTATTTCCAAGAGGAAACAAATGCTGTTTGAGAACGTTGCTAATCCCAATTTTGTTTTTCATTATGTCTCTCGCGGTCATGTTGGTCGATAGCGCGGTAGATGTTTTCGGGGTACAGGTGCTATGTCACCATGCACCACCAAAGCCCCATCCTCCACAGTCCGGCTCTGTTGTCTCAATCCATGGACAGCCTGTGCCAGCATCCCTGACGGGAGGGGAGGACTGGGCAGAGGCCCAGGGGAGGTGCGGTGGCTGCCGGTGGCCTGGCCCCAAGGACACCTGCTACGGGACCGTCCTGATTGTGCTTTGCTCAAAATGCAGTAAAAGCCCATCTGTCAACTTCCTTGTCCATTATGGATTTTCCTTGAAACTTTGTGTGTTCTGATCCACTAGCATGAGGGAAAAGGAGTTGGGGTGTATTTATTTCCCATTATCATTCAAATATAAGAGAGAGAGAGAGAGAGAGAGAGAGAGAGAGAGTGTGTGTGTGTGTGTGTGTGTGTGTGTGTGTGTGTGTAATGTTTCTAAGGCAAATTACCCATGTCTGTATTTCTGGAAGGAAGCTGTTTTTTAACCTGAGTCTCTTGTGTCTGACTCATCTGATCCAAACTCCAGGACCTGTTGTTAATTTCACTTGGTCAGGTCAGGCCAGCTTCAGCCTGCACCTGCAGGGGGTCAGCAGACCACCAGCTTCCCTGCTTTTGTTGCTTCCAGGCTGTTCTGGGGGTGCAGCCAAGTCAAAATGAGCCCCAGCATCCCACCGATCTCCATAAACACACCCGCGTATTTACCCAACACTCTGCTCACAGGTGTGCAATCCACCTGCACAGGTGCATGGCGCACGCTGGGACAGGTGGCCTCGACCCTCACACAGCTGGCGATGTCACCCGGTGGTGGCGGAACCAGCCGGGCGTACGGCTGCTAGCTGGGGGAGCCTCACCGCAGGCCTGATGCAGAGCTTTGTTTCCCTATCAAGCGGCAATCTAAATGGTAATCAAGTTCACGCGGGATTTGTTACTACGCTGCCCTCCCAGAAGCTTCTTGCTGCAGCCGCCCTGAGCACTTCGGGAGATCATTCAGCCATTCGCTTCCCCTCACGCAGCCACGCCAAGACCACCAAACGCCTGTCGGGGAGCTCAGTGAGAGCCAGAGAGACAGGCTGAGCACAGATGCCAAGTCTCCACCCCTGCCCAGAATATTCTGCAAGCGACTGGGCCTCCCTGCAGGAATGGAAACGGGATGTTTTGGGGGGAAATCTGTAGACAAGTGTTTCCCTAAAAAAGGACCCCCGTAAGTGTATCTCAAGATGGCAAGTCTGTCTGGTATGCGAGTGTCAGTGTCACAGAGCAGCTGGAGCAACGGCGTCACGGCTTTCTAGAGACACAGCCCGTCGCCTGCACATCACTAGCTCAGCTCCCCTCAGCGGAGCTTCTCATTTGCTTGACACAGGCCACAGGGAGGTGGCCTGTCCTGGGCTAATTAGCCCCCAGAAATTAAACAGCACACACTGCACTGCACAAAGGTAAGTTAGAGACCCAGGGCGCCTGCTCCAGGGTGCTCGGGTGATGGCACGACCCTGCGCATGTTCCTCAAGTCCCATCCCCCCGGTGCAGAGGAGGGGTCACTCCTGGGGGACACAGGTCCCCAGTGAAACATGCATTTCAAGTCAACAGTGAGACATTTTGTGGCACAGGATGCCCCTGCACTGCTAGGGACATACTTAAATTAAAAACGTTGATCTGCGCTCCCACCGCAGGCTTTACTGCTTTACTGCTCGGGCGCGGTGGGCCGAGAGGGAAGCCGTCTGGAAAATAAAGTCAGGGCGACTGAGAAAGGAGGCGCCATCCAGTCATTTTCCTCGCCGCTCTGCAGCGCTGGGCTTTTACCTGAAGCAGCCCCGTCTTCCAGGACTCCTCCCCCCCCCCCCCCCCCCGGGCACAAGGCGGTCTTCGCTTCTTGCGGCTTTCTGAGAGAGCCACCACCTGTCATGCAGGTCGCCGACAACAGTGTAAACGCCTCCGGATCAGGGTAACCGGCCTTTGGAGAAATCACACTTCCAGGTCCCTTGGCCGCCCGATGAAGCAACGGTTTACTGCTCTCTGATAAGCACATTTTAAAATTCCTCTGTGAGTATTATTGGGAGAACTACCCCCAAGTGTTTATTAAATGCCTCATGGAAAAGCACTCTGAGATCCGCTCGGGCGGGAGGAGGGACAGCGAGGCCAGCGCGGGCCACGCACCGGACGCTGTGACTTCCCGGCCAGCCCCCGCCTGCCGGTCACCGCTCCGGCTGGAGGCTCTGGGAATGCAAACTCATTTTCATGCTTGCTCCAGCCAAGAAGCACCCATGAAGGCAGATCTGCTGGAGCAGGCATTCCGCAGGCCTTCCGGAGGATTCCGTCCCTCCACTGGTCCGTGATTTCAGCGGCTCTTCTTGGCTCAGCTTGCGCAGTGTGGAGAATGCTCAGATGAGACGCGCCTGTCTGCTGGACGCACGGGCCTTCCCAGATGGACCCGGTGCCACAAGTGCCCACTGGCCCTGACAGTCCAGGGAGACTTTTCCAGCAGCCTCCTGAGACGACAATCCAGAGAGGGTCTGGAGATGCCAGGGCGCGCCTGTGAAGGGGGCTGGGAGGACTCGGGGAGGGCTTCGTGGAGAAGGGGTGTGTCCGACCGGTTTCTAGCCATTCGCACGTTCAGGGGACACCTGCAAGAGCCCTGGGGCAGCCCAACCGCTGGTGACAGCAGCGATTAAATGGCAAGTGCTCACTGAGATCTGAAGTCCCCACACAGCCCAGGTCACGCCTCCAGGCCGGGAACGAAGGACCCATGTACCAGTCCGAGCTGAGTGGACACCCCAGCAACCTCTCAGCACTGTACCTCCACATCCTCACCCCCCCCGACCCGTTCTTCCAACCCTGCCCCCGCCCCGACTCACCTGCAGAGTCACTACCCATCCTGACACACTTTGGGGTCCTCCTCCACCTGGAGCCTCCTGTATGCACAAAGTGGGAGCCAGTCTAAGCCCAGGTGTTTCCATGACAACCGGGGCAAACCCCTTTCCGGCACTAAACAAATTCCAAGTTTCTGGCCTCTTATTCTGCGTGCTTTCCATGGACGCAGGGAGAGGGCGACTCGGGGGCTGTGCCCACTGGGTCCTCCAGAGATGCTGGCACGGGCAGGACACACTTGCAAGGAGGCTCCTGGGAGGAGAGACCTGAGCGCTCGCTGAACGCAAGTAACAGGTGAGACGAGTCAGGACAGGCGGCTGCACCTGTGGCAGGACCTTCATGAGGCGACTTCCCCGTCTCTACACAGGGACCCCGATTCAGATGCGCATGTGCGCGCGCACACACACACACACACACACATACACGCACACACATGCTCACACGAGCTGCTGCCTCTGGCCCTTTAAGCAGCTCAGCCAACCCTTTTAAGCACTAGCCAACAGGAAGCGGAGCCGGCCCTCGCACCTGGACCATAACTCCCCCTGCAGGTCAGCATCCCCGGCCCAGGGGGCGCCTGGCAGCGGCCACAGCTCCACGGGCCCCTCTCCCGTCTGTCCCGGGCCAGGGCGGCCAGGCGAGCCCAGCTCGAGCCTGCTCACCACCAGACGTCTTGACGCTGCAGCCAGAGCTCATTCACCCTAGTGATTTATTAACTAATTTAACATGTTAGAAAAACATCTGCATTTCGCTTTCATTGTCCTGCCAGCAGCCAGGCTCAAGACGAGATGAGTCCTGCAGACTTGCTTAATGGGGCCTAAAAACGCCCTCTTGCTTGCTGAGTTTTCAGATCTGCCTCTAGAAGCTCTGATTTAATGGCCCTCACGAACACGAGTGCTCAGCTCCCACCCCCACGTGAGCACTGCCGGGCCAGGGTAGGGTACTGGCGAGGCCCTGAGGGGGATGGTCCCCCAGGACGTTCTTGGGATTCAGGGAGTGAAAACGTGTCCCGGTTATTCCCGAGACTATTGACGTGGTCTGGTCACCTCTGCTTAGAGATGCTTCTAAGACCGTTTCAAGCCGAGTTTACGCGCGAGGATGCTTGTCTTGGAGCTGGATGATGGACTGGACGGAATTGCATCTCCCCAAGAAGACGTGCTCGAGGCCTCATCCTCGGCGCCCCGCCCTGTGAGGGTGGGTGTTTGGAAACAGTGTCTTTGCAGACAGACCCAAGGTAGGGTGGGGTCCGCCTGGATTCGGGTGGTACATTTGCCAATGATGGCGCCCCTGTGAGTAGAGGGAACCTGGACACAGCACAGAGGCCCCCGGGAGACAGAGCTGGGAGTGAGCGCCCGGACGCTGAGGACACCTGGGAACCCAGCCAGAGGAGAGGGCGAGGCAGGGTCTCCTGCTGAGCCCCGGGAGGTGACGCCCAAAAGGACACTGGGGTTTGCGTCGACCTCCAGGAGACAAATCCCTGTCATTTTAGCCACCCATGCATGGTCAAGCCTCACAGCAGGCCCAGGGGACCCCACAGATGACCAAGCAGGCCCCCAACATCTGAGGGGCGGCCGTCCCAGGGCCACTTGGGGCCTCTGTGGGGCATGGTCAGATGATCTGGGGGTGAGGAATGGCCGGCAGGGGCCAGGTGCCTGCTTCTGCTGCTCCATTGCCGCACGAAGTGAAGGCTCTGAGCTAAGTGTCTGAGCTTCCGTCGAGTTCTAAAGCAGCCTGTTTCTGCAGTACGGACAACACCCTGGTCGACTGAAATGCCCTGGACCCAGGCGCTCCCGGTGACCCCGGGGCCAGAGAGCCTTTTGGGTGCCCGCTCCAGTCAGCGAGTCTGTGTCTGCTGACGACCTGCCAGGCCGGAGACAGGCATATTTTCAGGAGGGGGCGGGGGCGGTGCTGCCTGTTCACCGGCTGGATTTCCTTTTCTTTGCACCCTGCAAAGTCGCCCTGGGCCCAAGCTGGGTGTCTTGGCTGAATCCTTGCTTTGAGGAGGATGCGGTCAAGTCTGCCCCCAGGGCCAGCCGCTCCCCAGTGGTGCTCTGGTGCACAAGGAGGCAGCCCTGCCCCTGGCACAGAACCCCCTGTCCTCTGCCCCCAGGCGCCTCTGCTGCATCCTGGTAATATCTGCTAAGCTTCATTTTATTGAATATGGTTTCTCCCCAGAAGACTTTTATTCAGAGCTATACCCATGATTTCATCTCCTGGGGCCAGAACATTTTCCTGGGAAGAGAGAGCGTGTTCCTCTGGCCAAAGGAATAAAAGGGAGGCTTCCCTCCCCACCCCACCCACCCCCAGATTTTAAGATTTGAGTTGGCAGGCTGTGAGCATGAGCTCCAAAGCCCTATTTCACCCTCATCTCTTCTTGTTATTCTTGCTGGCTTAATAGTCTGTTTATAAGCTGCGCGAAGAAAGTGCTGAGGTCAGTCTTGCTCACCAGGCTGACCCCAGGCAGCAGCATGGTGCCTGGCCCAGAGGCAGATTCGGATCATTCCTTCTCTGGCGAGTGACTGCGGGCCACCCTCACAGGGTCAGCTTGACACTGGCTTCTCGGTGCTCGGAAGACTGGTCATCCGTTCCCTGAGCTCCCAGCGGGAAAGGGTTTCAGGATGACAAATGTTGATGCAGACAAGCTGGAGTCAACCTCTCACCCTGAGCTCTGTTTTGCAATTGACAAAGGGTGAAGGGGACCTCTTGCAAATATCCGCCAGGAGCCAAGAATTTGAACTTGCTCGCCTGGCCCTGCAGTGGTGCGGCTCCTCCCCAGCTGCCATGTGGAGCTGTGTCCTGAGTTATTCTGCTGAATTCAGTGCTCAGATATAATTTGCTCTTAAAACCTACTGGACCCACAGGGGGCTGTGGCAGGGTCAGCGACTTGGAGCTCCAGGAGGCCCGTGCCTGCCAGTGCGTGGACCACACCCTGCCTGAAGATTCCAGCCTGGCCCCCACCCCACCCCCGGCCAGGCGCACCCAGCACCCCGCAGCTTCCCCCACCCCCCACCCTGGCCAGACGCATCCAGCGCCCAGCACACCCCCAAGCCTCCCCCACCCCCCACCCCGGCCAGGCATACCCAGCGCCAGGCCCCCGCAGCTCACCGCTCAGCGGGTGGGGCACGGTGAACTGCTTCTTGTTGGCACGCACGGGCAGGAGACTCTGCGCCGGCCCCAGGCTCTCCTGCCGCTGGGCTTTGCGCTGGTGGACCATGTGTTCCAGCTTTTTCAGGCGCTCTTGCGAGCGAGAAATGAACTGAGGCTTATGGACTTCCAGCGCTTCCTAGACCGAGCAAGAAATAGCCCATGTTTGAGGGGCGCCCCGCCGGGCTGCAGACCAGCGAGATCCGGTCAAGCCACCCAGCGCAGCCCGGGGAACCAACGCCGGGGAGCAGAGCAGAGCGCGGCTCCTCCGTGGGCGCGGCGACGTCGTGGGGGTCAGCTGGTGGTCAGTCCCGGCGGGCGGTCCCACCCTGACGAGGGCGCCACTGCAGCGAGGCCCAGACCAGCGTCAGGGCGGTGAGTGCAAAGGTGAGCTCGCGCCCCCCGTCCAGTGCAGATGCCTGACCTTCCCTCCCAAGCCCCGCTTCTGCGGGCCTGGCCGCTCGCGGAGCACGCACCCAGCGCGTCCACCCAGGATGAAATAGGTGCCTCAGGAGAAGCGGGAAAGGTGCTCCCCAAAACGGGTCCTCCCCCTGGCGGAGGCCGAGGAGACAGCGTGACAGCGTGGCTGCGCAGGTGGCTCTGCGGGCCCAGGAGAGCTCAGCATTCCCCACGGGCCCACCTCAGCCTCGTCTCTCACTGCACTCCTGCGCCCTGGGCAGGGCCCCCCACTTGGCAGCTGCAAGGGATGCGTCCCCTCAAGCATTCTGCCCTGCACAGATGCGGGTTCTGGGCGTGTCCACTGTCCCGGGGATGCCCAGGTGACTGGACGGCAGGCCTGCTTAGCCCCATTTGACAGAAGCGCAGTGAGGCCCACCCTCTCAGGCAGACCCCACAGGACCCTGAGTGCCAGAGGCCCCTGCTTTCCCCACGCGCCGGTCCATTTTGTTGTCTTGCTGTTCCTTGGAAACGCGTGCCCAGGCTGTTCCCTGCAGAGAACAGCCCCGCTCCCCACCCATGCCCATTAGCTCAAGTCCCGGTGCTCCCAGTAAGTAAGCTGTCCATCCCCCTTCAGCCTGAGCATCCTCGGACTTCCTGGACCATCTCGGGCAAGCGCTGCATGCATGTTTACGCGCATGCTCAGCTGCGAACTCCTAGGTGGCCTCTCCACAGCGCAGCCCTCACAGCCGCTGCCACAGTCGGCACACGCAGGAGCTCAGCAAAATCCTGCCAGGGGCACTGCCCGGGAGGAACCAGTCCTCTGCCCCACTCCGTTCCCAGCCCTCGGAGCCTTGAGCTCCAGGGGAGGGCGGCGGGGGCTCCATCTTGTCCTGCTTGCTCCCCGAACAGCGCTGCCAGACGTGAGTCTTCTCCGTCGGAGGGGCCCATGGCTTAAGGCCCAGGTGCCTGAGACCCGTGGCTGGGACCCAGGGGCAGTCCCTGGAGAAAGGCCCGGAGTCTGGCTCCTGTGGAGGCCGCCCGCCCTGAGGCTGGAAGCTCGGGCCATCTTGGGGAAACCACGAGCCTCTCACCGTGGACCCCAGGGGTGTGGGGCCACCAATGGCACTTTCTCCCCACAGCAGGGAGGCTGACCAGGCTCATCCAGGCCCGGCCTGCAGGGGGGCTGCCTGTGCGGCCTGTCAGCAGGGCTGTCTCTGAGCCCGCTGGACCCTCTGGCTATGACATCTGGTCTTGTCTGGCCTGTAACCAGGTAGGCAGGAAACGCCCGCATTCAGGAAGCAAGAGCTCCATGCGCTTGAACTCGTGGCTTGTGACCGGGGCGCCTCCCCCTAGCCTCATCTGAAGACTAGGTTTTGGGGTCTCCTGCCTCCTCAGGGTGCTGTCTGGCTGGGAGGGCAGGATGCCTACGGCGTGGCTGCCCCAGTCTGGGCCCCGAAACGCCCGCATCACGGCCGGCTGTGCGCACTTGGGCTCGTGCGGCCCTCGCTCTGCCCGGGGAGTAGATTCGCTCTCCCCCACTCACTCTGCGAGGCAGAGACTCCGAGAGGTGAGGAGACCGGCCTCGAGTCACACAGCCCTGCGGAAGAGAATCAGGTCTCCACCCTCGGGAGCTGAGTTGAGGTCTTGAGCCTGAGGACCCCCGAGGAAGGTCCCCTGGGTCGGACTCCCGGACGCGTGGAGCAGGACCTTACCTGCAGGGTCAGCGGGCTGGCGGGCGCCTGCTGGCCCTCGGGATAGTCTTCCGACGGGCCGGGCGTCTCTGGTTCGTCGGGGGGTGCTGGCTCGGGGGACACTGGCTCAGGCTTGGGGGCCGAGGGGCCCCCATTCTCCTTGTATTCCTTTATTTTCACCACCAAGTCGCAGCAGGTGTGATCCCCTGGCGGGGGGGGGGGGGAAGATTCAGAATCCCATTTAGCGGGCAGAGCATTGTCATCTGCTCCTCCGCGCCTTAGAGAGACCGTTGGAAACGCCGTGGTGGTGAATGGGCCTCGTCAGGCTGAGCCCGCACCGCGCCACCATCACCCAGACCCTGGCCGCCCTGGTCCCAGGCCGCCCGCCCCTCCGCTGGCCAGTGGCGTGTGGAGACGTCCCTGGGCTTCTGGTGTGGAGAGTTTTCTAGCCGTGCTTCGTATCAAGCGTGTCCTGCACAGTTACCACAGCTCGGCTGCTGGGCCCCCGCGTTAATGTAGCTCATGTTTGCTGCGCCAGTGACGTCAGGCAGAGAATGGCGCTCACTGGTCTCCCCTTTGCCAGAGAGGACCACCGGCTTCGCATTCCTGATGGGGGCCTCCCTCTGTGCGTGACCCGCGCAGAGGAGGATCCAATAGTTCATCGAGCCTCGGCCCGGAGGGGGGTCGCGCACAGTCACTGGCCACCCACTGCTCCGCTCCTCCCCGGAACACGATGTCCTCCACTGCTCTGCCACTCCCCTGCCCTCCCCACCTCAGGTCACCCCCAAACACAGCCTCGCCAGATGCCCCCAGCCTCCAGAGCCCTCTCTAGCAGCCTCATTGCCCCCACGCCCCCTCCCTTACAGAGCCCTCGATTCTCCACCTCAGGCAGAGCCCCGCCCTCTGCGAGGTCGCTCCCCCGAGTCCCCACAGTAGCATGGCTGTCTCTGTGGGGCCAGCCGGGGTGCCCGAGGAGCTGGCTCTGTGGAGGCAGAGGAGGCCATCAGGAGGCCCCCCGGTCACAGGACGCTCCTCCGTGGGCTCAGGAATCGCTTCTCCTAACCCCCTGCCGTCACCTCCACCAGCCACACCGGGGCCGGGCCGGGACCAGCCGTCCTCTTGCCCACGCTCCCCGCGAGGAGCCCAGCCAGGCTGCCCGCGGCCACTCACGCCTGACTCTCCCCCGCTGCGCCCCACGCGGAGGCTCTCGTGTCTTCTTCATGCCTCTGAGCACTGGCCCCTTCTCCAGGTGGCTATGGGACCCGAGTCAGCCTGGTGGCTCGCTGCCCGCAGAGACGCAGCCCCCGCTGGCATCTGGAACCTTCTCCAGCCAAGTCTGGGAGCCTGCCGTGGGCTGGCAGCGACTCAGGGGACGCTGACCTGCACACGGTAGGGCTGGGGATCCGTGACCCACTCAGGGCAGCCTCCTCCTGGCGTGGAGGTAGAAATGTCCCGCCATTCAAACCTGCTGGTCCTGTCCCCTGCTCTGGAGAAGGGAGCTTGTGGGGCCCAGGGCCCCGGAGACCTTGCACCCTCTCCTGGGGTGGGGGCGGACCCCCTCCGCCTGCCGCCCTGGCTCCTTACCTCCGGGCGCCTCCCTTTCTACCTGCCCGGCACTGTCTTCCTGCGGAGATGCGCCTGAATCTGGGAAGGGGCAGAGAAGCCCAGGCCTAGGGGCGCGGGGCTTCCGGAAGCCCTGCTGCTGGCACTCTGGGGGCTCGGGGCGGGGGCTAAGCTGACAGCTGTTGCTTGGAGAGCTATGCCCGTTGGGGAGGAGATCTCGAGCCAGCTTCCGCTCCACCGCTGGGGCAGACAAAGTCACACGTGCTTCTCCTGGCTGCTTCTCGTTGCTTCCAGAAATTACTTTGGTGTCTACTAAAAATAAAATGAGAGTTGTGCTCAACACCTCTGAGGAGCTCATCTGACTTTTGCCAGGAGCCTCCTCCAGAGGCAGGGGCTGGGCTGGGGTGGAGAGGTGCTGGTGCCCGGGGGTGAAAGGGCAGGCATCCTGTCCTGAACCTGACCAGCCTGCCTGGACAGGGCCCCCACCAAGGTGCTCCGCTGTGAGCACCGCCACCGCCATGAGCACTGACTGCGAAGGGACCACGGCACCCTTGGGCCTCAAAGGACCTTCTCAAAGGCGGCCCAGCCACCTGAGCTCAAATCCCGCCTCCACCACATATGCTGCGGCCTCCCCTAAAAAAACCCAGGTGATACTAGAATGATCTGAAACACTGCTTTTGTAGTGCTAGTCCTATCATTTGTTTTTGTAGTAAATGTATTTATTACAGAATAAAAATGTTATTGACACCATTATATTTTATATCCTCTATAATGCGTATTATATAATAAACATGCTTTTATTATTAATATAAATATGAAAATTGAGGTAATAAAATGCTTAAACAGTGCCACGGACTAGTGAGGCCACAAGAGGAACCGGCCCCGTGTTCTCACACACAGGTGACGGCGAAGCTCCGGGTGCAGAGCCCCGAGCAGAGAGACTATATAAGGGGCCACGGAGGGGGGTGGCCTCTTGCGAGCTCCTTGAGGTTTTCTAATTTCTATAGGAAAAGCTTTCCAGACTTTCATTTCCAACATTATCAATTCTATCAAGTATGAAACAGCATAACTCTAACCTTAACCAAGTTCTTCCTTTCTATGTTGTTTTCTTGCATCTGACATTCTCGTACAGAATCAAAACCCAGGTCAGTTACTGGGGTGCACCCCAGTCTGCCAGCCCTGCCGGATGAGCCTCAACTCAATGGAGGAGACGCCCACCCCCGCCTGCCCGCCGATCTATCAATAATCTACCTGGTTAATATAAGCTCTTGAGACTGGTTCTGTCAAAGTTAGACGCCCACCTATGACTTGAAAGAGTTTTAACAACTGCAGAAAGTGGAAAGAGTTGGTGAGGGGAGAAAAGAAAACAGACAACCAAGCAGACCCTTTCTGACTCGGCCCTAATTGGGTCTCCCTGTGGGTTCTGAACCTTCAGGCGGGGCCTGGGATTCCTCTGCCAGGGAGACGGGGGTCCCCGAGGCGGCCCACCAGCTTTTCTGCCACTTGCTCAGCACGCAGGTTGGCCCTCAGCTTTGTTCACGCCCCATCCTAGACCAGGTCACCTGGCAGAGGCCGGTGCCGGGGGCACAGCCTGAGAAGGCGACCCTGGGATGCAGTGGGGAGACTGTCCTGTGTTTCAGAGGTGCGGGACGCAGGCGGCGCCGGCCTGGGGAGGTGGCAGAGCTGTGCTGGCGGGACGGGCCCCTGGACAGGAAGCAAGGGGCTCGAGTTCACAGCTCCGCCCGCCAGCGCTGGCCGGCAGCTTCCCTTTCTCAGGAGCGAGGAAACCTCAAGCCACCTCCAGTTACGAGACAGGAAGAGGCAATCAGAGAAAGTCAAGCAGGTCGTTCGGCGGCGGCCCTTCGAGAAACAACCTGGGGAGAAAATGCAGAACAAGCCGCGCGCTGGCCAGGCTGGCGGGAGTTTCTGGGCTTCCCGTGGGCCGGGCCTGCCTCCTCTCTCGGCGCAGATCAAAACTTGGTTTCCTCATGTGGAAGTGGGGCTGGATTTGGCGCCCCGCACCCCAGCCGATCCAGACTTCTGGTGCGAATCAACCCGTAATTGTTTCAGCATATTTCTGTGACATTTCTGTCTGGAGGTGTTGGAGCCCAGGAGGGGATCAGAAAAGGGGGGAAGGAGAGGGAGGGGGCAGGGTCGATGGGATAAGCAGCTCCAGGCGGAGGGGTGCAGCCGCGCAGAGCAGCCCCACATGCAGCCCCGGAGCCATGCGCGCAGCAGAGGCAGAGCCGGAGCTGGTGCCCGGAGGAGAGCAGAGGTAAGTGGGGGCCCAGAGGGCAGCAGCATCAAGGGGCCGGGGTGAAGGGGCTCCCGCAAGCGGGGCCAGGGGAGCAGGAGACTTCTCGCCAGCGCCAGGCGCGCCTAGCCCCGAAGCCGTGTCTTCCACGAGATGCAGCAAACACCAGACCCTCCTGTCTCCCGCAAGCAGCTGATCTCAGCGGGGAGATGGGCGGGCGCTGGCCGCTCGGCGCCATCATTGCTCTGGTTTGCTCAGACGCCTTTTACAGCTTCCATCGCGTCCCCCCAGCTCAGCCGGCGCGCGTGCCCTGCACGCATCTTCCTCTCAGATGCCGCGCCCTTTGCAGAGCTGTTTTTGAAAGTCAGCATCGGAGGGGCTCCCCGGGGTCTCTGGAGAGAGGAGCAGGCCCCACGGAAATGGCAACAGAGGATAAATGCAGCAGCTAAAAAATCCAGAATCAGCCGGGCGCGGCCACAGCCTTGGGCAGAGCGCGAGTCCCTGCGTCGGGCCTTCTCTGCCTGGGTCTCCCAGGCCCGCGAGGCGTTCCAGGCCTCTCCCGGCCCTCGTGACCATCATTTCGCCATGAAATAAACCGGTGCTCATCGGACGCGCATCCCCCACCCTCCCGTGTGGGTGTCCTGAGTTAGCTCTTTCTCCTCACTGAGCGCGATGCCTCGGAAACAAGACCTGTTTAGTTTATGGGTTTGCACCAGGAGGCCACTTAGGTACAGAAAAATGAGCGTCGTTTAACTGTTTCTGCAGCACCACAGCGAGTGTCCAGAGGGGTTTCTTGGCAAAAACAAGCTCATCACTGTCTTATTGAAAACCATCATCATGGAGCAGCATGGATCACGGAATCGCTGGAGCACAGGATTTTCCGGAGCCGACATCTAATGGACAAGTGTGGGGCCAGGAGCAGGCCCTCGTGCCGTGTCCCCCGCTCCGTGCTGGCCAGAGAGGAGGCGACTTCCTGCCGAGTGCTCACAGCTGGTTGGCACAGCCCGACTGTCGGCTGCATCCCACAGACGCCACAGCTCGTGTCTCTCGTCCCAGCCTGGCCCGACTGCCTGTTCTGGATCAGGGTTCCAGGGAGTGGGAGATAAGGCAGCTGATCGGTTTTCACTGGGCACCACTAGGTGCCACCTTCCGCTCTGCCCAGTTCCTCCCTGATAGTAAGCCCTCCTCGCCTCTCATCATAGCGCCTTTCAAGGCACTTCTGGGGTGCAAAGAAGCATATGCCCCATGAAACCAGCTGAGTTGAAACAATATCAACAATAAAGATGTTTGTAGTGACTTAACCCCAGTGTTACGGGGATTATAAACAAAAGTGAGGCATTGGGAGTACTTCAAGTTAAAACGTTTCTATATAGTGAAAGAAAATACAATGGGAGAAGATAGTCATGCAATATATAACTGATAAGGGACTAATGTCCACGCTACACACACACAGAAACTCCTGCAGTTCTACAATAGATAAAAACAAGCAACTCAATTAACACATGGGCAGCGGATACCAGGGTGTGGACAGGGAAGAACATGACTTAGGAAAAGACATTCGTTGTCACATCCAGTAACAGAGATTCGGGTTAAAACCACAAGGAGACCCCGCCTCACGCCCGTGAGGAGGACACATATTAAAAAAAAAACTTCCCACAACAAGTGCTGGCGAAGACTGAAGGGAAAAGAATGCCTCGCGGTGTTGGCAGGAATGTGCTGGTGAAATTATCGTGGATGCAATCTGGGTTTACCTTAAGTAACTGAAAATGGAAATACCGTGTGACTGGCCACCCTGCTCTGGGCGCTGCCCACGGGACACGGACCATCCACACGGAGCCCATCTGCTCCCTGCCGTGCCCAGTGGCGCAATTGACAGTGGCCATCACGTGGCTGCAGCCGACATGTCCGGTTACTGACGGCGGGTCAAGATGCTCCGCGCTATGTGGCCATCAGAAAAGAGGAAATACAACCATTTTCAGCGAAACACAGGGAACTTAAGAGAATCATGTGTAGCAAAGTCAGCGTGATAAAAACAAATCCAGACATTCCCGTAGCAGACAGTTCAATAACGTAAGACTTTCAAAAACTAGTGGACGCCAGGAGACATCTTGGGGATGCTGAGCTTGAGGGGTGTGCGGGAGGAAGGCGACACAAAGGACAGTGGGGAAGTTAATGCCTTTTTCTTACACTCATAGAGCGATGCCGACAATATCTAAGAGCTTAGTCAAAAAATAAACCATATAGGGCCTCCCCAGTGGTGCAGCGGTTGAGCACTGGGTTGCGAAGCTGCCCACAGCCTCTGCAGCGCCAGTTCGATCCCTGGCTGCTCCCCGGCCACCGGAGGAGGGTCCCACATGGCACGCAGACTTCTCCTGCCGCCCGCTGCTCCCCTCAGCAGTGTACTTTGTTAGTCTGCCTGCTCTGCTCCCCGCTCTGGCTCTGGTGAATTCTCTCACCCTCCCGCGCTTCTGACTGTACCCAGTGCTTGTGTAAATAAATAAATAATTAAATCTTAATACATAAATAAATAAACCATATAATAAGGGTATTTTCAGGTGTTTAGGTTGTGTGGGTTCTTGATTTGTTCATGAAAAATGTTTTTTTTAATGGTCATTGTTAACATCCTACCTGTGAGCATGAGGGGAGGCAGGATGAGGGGTATAAGAAATTTTTATTTCTATTTTTGCACCATTTCTATTAAGTCTAAAAGTAGTACAAACTTAAATGTTTTTTAAAGGCGTCACTTGTGTTAGGTTTAGAAAAACTCAGAGTAGCATTTTTTATAGAGTTGAAAGTCACTTCTTAGTAACTGCAACATGACTCATGTATCTGCATTTGTTGCTTCACCAGAAATGGCACAGACACGTTGGTAAATTGTGTTTTGGATTTGTTAAAGCGCCGATGGGGCCTCCCTGGTGGCACAAGGGGTTAAGTCTCAACGCTATGAAGCTGTCCGCAGCCAGGCAGCATAAGTTCGATCCCCGGCCAGGGAGCCTCCCACATGGCACAGCAAACCTCACCTGTCACACCAGCTGCTCCCCTCAGCAGTGGATTTCCA